ATGCCAATAAAACTGTAAATGATCAGATTGAAGATTCTGGGCATTTTTAGACTGGTCTTTTTTTTCGTCCTGTGTTTTTTTACAAGAAAGGACAAGTGTCATTCCAACACATTCCCAGTTTGCAAGAAGCTGCATTTAGCAGCTTCATCCCACTGTACTGCTGTTAAAAACAAACACTCCCTCCACTGTGCCAGTGCACAGGAACATCCGATCCTGGATGACCAGCCCCGGCAGGCTGCAATTTCTCTCCAAAAATACCTTTTTGACTCTTACTCGGTACGTGGGCTACGGACCTCCGCTCTTGCTGGGTAAATCAAGGACATCTGGTCCTTTCTGACTTTTCACAGTATCCTTTCTAAAAAACAAATATGCAACAAAACAAAACAAAAAATCAACAGGGCTGCAAAATCCTGAAAATCCTAATTCTGGATATTCCAGGCTGCAGCTTGAAGCTTTGGGCAGACCAAGGGCCCAGCTTTACCCACAGTAATGCGCTGAAGTCAGGACGGTGTAAGTAAAAGCAAGAACTTTGATTCTCATAAAAATAATAATAATCTGGGACAAAAAATAAAAGGAATGGATTAGGGTAAGCGCTGAGCTGGCCTGAATTCTTCCTATGAGAGAAACCAAACAGCAACTTTCCCATATGGGCCAGCACTGCTGGGCTGTGCGTGTTTTCTCTTGATTTAAAAATTACCCCAGTCTGAGCTGCCTGGATTTCGCTGCACCTAAAAGTGAAAGCAACGTCTCCAACCTCATGAACCTAAGTGCGAGGCAGGGTGTGCAGCTCCGGGGGAAACCACACAGCCCTGGAGATTGCTGAAAGCCGTCTGAGCGTGTGAGGCTTCCAGCTTCACTTCCCGAGTGGTTAAAATGCTTCCAAGCTTTTCCCAGCTTATCCTCACAGCACCTCAGGGCTGCTGGAGCCATCAGGCAGAGGAAGCTGGAGCCTTTCGAGGAAGGGGACAGAGCAGGAGCTGGAGGCACAACTGAACCACAGCTCAGGCAGGCTGGGATCACTCCAGAGCTGCTCCACTTCCAGGAAAGTGATGGCAATGGTGCCCAAAGGAAGATGCCCCAAAAGGCGCATATCCCCCAAGGATTAGCTCCTCTTTGCAGACTCCAAGTTGGACATTGCTACCATTAGACTATTTAGAGATAATCTTAAAATCCTCTTCTTTCTCAGCTGCAGAGACCTTTCTCCTGCTTGCCCTACCATTTATGTCCAACTCTGGATCCTACTGATGAGCCCAGCAGTGCTCGCAGCTGAATCGACCTTGGCTGGAAGCCCTCCTGCAGGTGACTTTCCCAGGATACTTTTTTTCTCTGCTGCAACAAGGAAAAGGAAAAACAAGCAAAGGAGAGCTGGGTGAGGGAAGAGCTGCCCATGCAAACCCAACTTCACCCCAAGCAACGTGTCCATGTTCAAACCGCTTGTGCCAGCCACCACCTAACAGGAACCTTTGTATCCAGACCGCTGACACCATGACCTCCGAGCCATGCCTCGGCTCATCTGCAAGTACATGACAGCTGAGATTCAAACAAGCAATCTCTGGGCCTCTTCCATAGTGTGGGGCTAGCTGAAGGAGCAGCATCCATCCAGCTTGGAGCAGAGCTGTGCACTGTGCGGAGAGCATCTCCTCCAGAGAACCCAACTTCACCGCAGCACCCTGGCTGCCAAAGCACACGGCAAACTCCGGAGTATCCATCTGCTCCAGCAGTGGCTGGGCTGAAATATTAATTAGGAGATCTGATCCCTTCTCACCAGAAACAATCTGGATTTTATAGCTCAGGCAGAGGCCAGCACAGCAGACACCACTCTGCGCTATATCCTTTGCTGCTGCTTAACAGCTTTCAAGGAAACAACTGACCTGAGGGGACGACACAGACTGTAAAACATGTGGACATCTGGTCTGCTATGTCCATCTTTCATGTACTTCCGTGCTCAAACCCCCTTTCCAAAGGCAGACTCAGAACAGAGAGCGAAGACTCCTCTGACATAAACAGCTATAATACAGCTATAAAGATTAATGAGTAAAACTTGCCATTTTATGTATAATCCTTGGGGATTTACAATCATTAATCCTTATTAGTGGGTAATAACTGTTTAGACATTAAGGACAGATTCTCAGCTGGACACAGCTGGCTTCATTCCAGCCTAGCCAGCAGAGCGATGCCAGCATACACCGTGCCTGACCCTCATGCCGATGGGACCCATCCCCATTTGCAGGAATCCTATTGCTAGCAGTATTTCCCCAACAGCAGGAGTAGACCAGGGAAGGCAACTATTTGTCTTTCTCTGCATCCGAAAAAACGAGCTGCATGTGTCCAGGAAGCTCAACAATAGACATGTCAATAAACATGCGGAAATTCAATGAAAAAGCAACAGCAACAGAAGGAACCCCAAGGAGCAGGGAAGTGGATGATTTCTGAGGCAAGATCTGGTTTGGCAGAAGTATAGCTCTAGGAGGGATGTAACAATCTTTGGCATATGAAAGAGTGAAAGCACCAAGACGGGCTCACAGAGTCCCTCTAAGAGGAACAAGATGGAAGAGAGGAAAATAAAAGCACATCTTGGCTGTTTTTTCTGAGAGAGGAGTTTGGGGCTTGTTTTTAATAAAGAAGAGGTCTGTTAAACAAGGGAGCTGGTGGGAACCTTGTCTGAACTACCTCGGACCAGCCGCTAATGCAATCTTGCATCAGCAGAGCCGAGTTTCCTCCTCTAAAACATCTAGGAAACAAGAGAGATATGCAGGTAGGTTCTGGTTTGCCAAGAAGAGGCAAAAATCCCAGCCACGGGCCTGCATTACCTATGGACGCCTCTATGCCCTCCCTCCACACCGAGACCAGGGGCTCTGCCCCAACAACCTCCCTCCTGCTCAAAACTTGGACAATGTCCCCAGCATTACAAGGTGGATGGTGCCAAAGGGGATGCCCAGCAAAGGCACATGGCTGGGCAGAGACACCCACCCCACATCCTGCCACAGCTGCCAAAGAAATGGGAGCTCAACTGCACTTTTCTTTTTCCAGAAAAAAAGCTATTTCTGAGTAGTGTCCCGCCAATCATCCATCCTGCCTTTTGCCAGGATGGGCCAGCTGCCTCTGGAAGTGGTGGTCCCACCTCTCTAACACATCAGAAATGTCTCCTTCCAAGCCCATAAGCAGAGCAGAACTCAGGAAAGAAGGCAGAAACACAGTACATAGATATCTATGTGAAGTTTTATCCACCTCGGAAATCTCCAGAGGAGATGGACAAGTCACCCATCGCACCAACATGAATCCGGCACATAGACCAACAGTGACCAACAAACACTCTCCATGTTCTTAGTAAAGTCTAGGGGACCTGTAGGGAGCCCAGAAATTGATTTTCCGTAGCTAATCTGCAGGAAAAACACAGTTGGAGAGCACAAGCTAGTGATGGCAAGGCCTCAAAAAGCTCAGGAGCATTGGGAGCCACCAGGCATTTTGCACTGGCTCCCTCCAGGAATAAGGCAGAGAAGAGGGGGACGAGCATTGCACTGAGGCCACAGCTCTGGGCTCAGCTCCGAGCACAGTTTTCAGCTGAATGAAAGAGCAAAGAAACAGATTCTGATCTTGCAGCCCAGCAGGTTTTCAGAGCTGCCAAGGACATGAGGTCTTGTCTCTCCACCTGCTCAAGTGTTCAAGAAAAACAGGGTCGGTGGAAGCAGTGATCACGTGGATCACCTTTCTAAGTCTCACTGGTCACCAAGATCCACTCATGGTGCTGACACAAACGACTTTTAAAGGAACAAAGTCATGAAGGACCGGGAGGAAAGTTATTTTCTTGCACGCCCCATTGTAATAATGTCATGAAAACAAAGGGATGAGCCGACCCAAGCCCGGCAAGAGCAAAAAGCATGAAAGCAAAGCACTCAGCATGTAGTGTCGAGGCATGCAGGAATCATTGTAGCAGAGGGATACTAGCTGCAGACAACACTGACATTAATTTTCTATTGGAAAACGCTGGTGACATTAATATCTGCTATTAATACTGAACTTTGACAGTATCACATAAATTCAGCCCGCCAATTAGAATGGCACTGAAATAAAGGTGCTCTGAGGTCAAGGAGATGTGGTGTCCAAAGGAGATTTATATTCCAGGAGAAAAGCAGCAAAAACAATCTTTAACGAAAAGCATCAGATCCATATGTAGGAAAACCAAAGGGTGGTTTTAAATGTCATGTTTTTCAAAGGGAGAATTGATGCTGGAAGCAGCTCCCCAAAGCGGCTGGCTGGACTCTGCGCTGCAGCTGAGGACGAGCCATCACAAGGGCCCTGCACCGACAGGAAAGCGAGCGGTACCAGACACGTGCACCCAGCCCGGGAGAGGAGAGGACCTGCCAGGAGCCCCACAAGGCCTTTTAGAGTTACACCAAGAGGCGAAACATACCCAGGTTTTGCCCAAAACAGCTCGAGACCTGCCCGTTGGCCTCTTCCCCAATGCACTGGCCCAGGAGCCCGGCCTGCAACACCAGCCCTGCTCTCGTGGGAGGGAAAGGTTTGGGCTCCAGGCTGGGCTACATCCCACGGAACGTCCACCTTGCCAGAAAAGGTCGGGATTTGGCCCCGAGTGTCTGCATTTAGAGACAGTCCCACCGGCAGACCTGGGCTTTGCAAACTGCTTTCTTCAGAGCCTGGACTCACTTCTGCCTATTTGCAGCAGGACGACCGAGGGCTCCTGCAAGCCCATCTCCTTGCCTCGACCTTCTCCAAGACTTTTCTTCCCCTATTACTGAAAAGACACAGAGGGAGTCAGAGCAGCAGGTTGTAGGGGAAAGTCTCCAACAAGAGGAACAGTCTGGGAGCTAGGGGAAGGGGGCTGTCGCCACGACCGGAGCATGGATTTTTATCAAGGGCAGGAACCCACCAGCTCTACCTTCCCCCAACCCCCCTGGAGGAGCCAAATTGAGATCCTTGATTCTAAAATAATTTTTACGAGGCACATTAAATATTTCCCACCACACAGACACTTCTTCCTCCTTTCCTGCAACACCTTCTCAACAGCAAAACCCTGCAACTATCCCCTTCTGCGGCCTCATTTAGCATTATCATCGTCACCACGCATTCATCCTCACATAAAACAGAAATCTATTCCATCAAGCACTTAACATAAATATTAAAATAATGGAAGGGACAAAATATAAATCTACATACAACTTCATGACTACCATAGCACCTATTACCATGACAAAGCAAATTCCGGTTCAGAAGGAGGGAAAGGGGGATGAGGAGCAAGTGAGGAAAGAGGGATCCCAACTGTCATTAAATATGTAAATCACTCTTAAAATTTTTTGTTGTTGCAGTTGTTTTGCATTTGTTTTAAGGTTACCAACCTCATTAAAATTCATTTCACTAACCAGCTCGTTCTATGTCACTACGGATACCAAAGAACCCTTTTAAAAACTTCGGCGAGGCGAGGGTTTCTCAGAATAAAAACAAAACAAAACAAAACACGGTGGCTCTCTGTTGGTGCTCTCCTGGCGAGTCCGGCCACGCGTCCCTCCCCGGCACCCACCAGTCCACAGAAGGGCAATTCATTTACAAGGATCCAGTTCTCAGTCTCCCAGGATGAGCTTGACAAAAGAGGCAACGTCTGTCTCTTTGGATTCGTGCAGGGTGAAGAAAGGATGTTGCTGGGAAAGAAGAGAAGGAGAAAAAAAATGTTTTAAAATTTATTGCTCACAATTCAAAGGACCAGACCTAATGGCTTTTCAGCCAAACTCCTAGACAGTGAAAAACAGGATTTTTTTGCTAATGTGGGGCTTTCTGAGTGGTCCCTGTCTGCATCCTCTCCCTGAGGTAGACGTGCTGCCCACTGCACCAGCAGCACTCGCAGGAAGGCTGATGCAGTGCCTTTTCAGTCTGTTTCCGGCTTTATCTGCACATTTACCCTCTGGTGACTCCTGAGCCTCATTTCTTCCCTGGGATTGCTCATGCTCCCGGCAGGAGACGGCTACTTCACCCCTCGCCACCGCAGAGGAAAGCCACCGTGGCTGGAAAGCCCGTAGCATGCTCTATGTTTAACTACTTAATCGTGACCAGCGTGGGAAGACATCCTGCCAGAAAACCTCGCCTGCATCTCAGCTCAAACGGAAAAATACATGCAAGGAGCAAAAACACCACCAAACCCCCACCCCAGCAGGACACAGGCCCTCGCTGCTAGGGCCAGCACCCGCCACCTCAGCATTTAATACACAGTTATTCATTTTTGCTAGTATTGAGCGCTGAGCCCAAATGGTTCAGGGAGGAATAAGAGTTCCAGCGTATCAGAGGCGACTGAGAGGTCCCAGGGTACTGCAGAACTCAGGCAAGTGGATGCCCTCTGCCTTGTGCAAGATGACTTTGTGCTTCCCAAACATCTGTCCATGGGTTCAATACATCTCTACACTCCAACCACATTTTTAAAGGCATTTTGAGATTTGCAGAGGTTCCCAAAGTTCCTCCCACAGCAGTACATTCACAGCTGCACTGTGTGAGTTAAAGATGGGCCAGCACCATGTCCCCCGAATCCGAGCCTTGCTCAACCACCCAGTCAAGACACTACGTAGCCGAGTCAACTCAACACGATTCCCTGACCACCAAGGGAGGAGTCCTGCAGTAGTTTCACGGTCCACTTCACCTGGGGAAGTGGGTTTTAAACAAAATTAAGCATCCATATCAATTTTCCTGATGCTCAAGATAGCAGTGAGTCATATTTTCCATGAGAAACCTCAATTCCACAGGAAAGCAAGTGAGCAGCCTTGGTCTAAATGACAAGTCCAATCCGGCACCGCAATTTAATGCCATAAGAGAGAGAGAGGAGGAAGTCAAAACAAAACAAAACAAAACAAAACACTAATCCACAGCCACAGGACCTCACAACATTCATGTCAGCCATAAAATACCACAGCATTGAGATACTCTGGAGAGGTGATCCAAGAACCTAATTCAATAGAAATGCACTCGCTTGCCAACCAGTATTAATGCTGCAACAGACAGAGCTGCTCCGGTGAACTTTTTTGATAAAAGGCCATTTGGCAAACTTTAGAGATTTGCTTAAAATATATATGTATTTATTCAATAATAAAAAAAAAGGAAAAAAGCCATAAACCTTGGGCCTCCCTTTGTCTGAAACCAACATTTGAGCAAACCATGCGTAAATCAGACCTATATATAGCCTAATTGTATTACAGAGCCCAGTAAGAAATGCCACAGGAATTATTCATTGGTTACACTTCATTTTTAAAAGGTGCATGGATTTCCAGCACATCTTGCACCTAAAGAGCACTTCAAACCTTGGCACCTTCATGCCATATATGTCCCAGCACCTCCAGGCAGGTGTTAGGACATGGGTAGTGTGAGAGAGATCCCTGGATGGCAAAAGTCATTTGTCACAAGTAACAGAAGACATTAATGCTTTAGCACATTCTGCAAGGGTGTCCCTGCTTGGTCCAGACACCAAAGGATGGAGTGGACATAACGCACAGATGAAGCATTTGGGTCCAGACCTCCAGAAGTAACTAAGCCAGGCACCTTTCTGCCTTTAACAAGCCATGAATCAAGTGACAACTAAAAATGGAACAGATGCTTATGGGAACAAAACACCGACATAGAATCATAGAATGCTCAAGGTTGGAAGGGACCTCTAGAGATCATCTAGTCCAACCCCCCTGCACATGCAGGGTCACTTAGAGAATGTGGCACAGGACTGCATCCAAGCGGGTTTTGAAGGTCTCCAGAGAAGGTGTCTCCCCAACCTCTCCGGGCAGCCTGTTCCAGTGCTCTGTCACCCTCACTGGTAAGAAATTTTTCCTTAAGTTCCTGTGGAACTTTTGATGCTTCAGTTTGTGGCCGTTTCCTCTAGTTCTGTCGCTGGCCACCGCTGAAAAGAGGCCAGCACCATCCTCCTCACCGCCTCCCTTGAGGTACATATAGACACTGATTAGACATACCAAGTGGAAACATTTATCAGTGTTTTCTTCCTCTTTGTTACTTCTCTGTCCTAGCCATTCTCACATCAAACAACCTCTAAGCAGCAGATGAAATTCAAAAAACAGAGTTATTAGCTACAGCCTAGTCTCTGTCCCTGGAATTCAGAAGTCACTGTCCAAAAACTCTTCTCTCCAAGGCACCATGTCAACATGATTTTTGTATCTTTATAAAGATCAAGATGCCGACTATCCCAAATCCCCAGTCACAACTGGAAACCCTGACTTCAGCATTTAATAATGTCTAAGCTTTTCAACCAGTACACTGCTTAATACACACTCACCATAAGCTCTGGGTATGTTGGCCGTTCTTTGGAATTCTTCTTCAAGCTTTATGAAAAAAAAAAAAGAAAAAGGGATAAGAAACCTTACATTCTGTACACAACTAAAGCAAGGCCATATAAATATATCTTTCCAGAAGATTTCAAGTGCATTTATAGTAAGTCCAACCACTCAATATATTAGATCAACAGCTTTAGGCCAACAACTTGCACACAGTACCAGTGCTGGGTATCACAAGTGAAGTGAACTCAAGGTCAAAGCCAGATCCAGAGACCCCATACACACAAGTCAATACACTGCACGTTGCTGAGGAACTGGCATAATTGGTCCTTTGGGTCCTGCCCGCTAAAACAGGGAGTAAGGAAGTGGATAGAGCTTCCAGCCTCCAGTTGGGAGTGGTAACCGAGTGGCTCTGAAGCACGTGTACAACTGTTTGTTTATCACCACGTTGTTATCAGCAGGGACGGTTACATGGGACATCCTCTTTTTCTCCTCTTCTACAACAGATGGCTCTGGAGGGTTGTAGCTGGGAGTTATTTTGGTTTCCCTCCAGCAGAAAATAGCTTTTAAAAGACAGGACGTAATCTCTACTCACTTCCTGACAGTGTATTTAGGGGAAAGACACTTGGAGCAACTTGAAAAGATCTTCACACACGTACACGTCGGTGGTGGGGAAAAGGTGTCACACTGAGCAAAACAAAAGTGAGAACCTCGGTGATGATAAGCCAGTGCTCTGCTGGGATTTGCCAGAGCCCAGAGGAAGTGGAGGACACACACTGAATAGATATTTCCTGCTGCCTGTGTGTAGCTAGCTCGTGTTTAGTGTCATGTTGTGAATGAACAGAGGAACCCAGTAACGATACGTGCCAATATTGCCTAATTGAAGATACGGGATGTGTCACATCCTTTGAGCTCAAAAGCAGCTCAAAATGAGGTGCTAAGGTGAATTTTAAATGTGGGGATAATCCTCTTAATTTAGACCCTCTACAAACAAAAACCTGGTTCCCAGGGTACTAATAGCAGGAAATTTGATGACAAGTTACTGAAATCAATGCAAATCTCCAGGAATAGAGAGCCATATTTGGATTACTTATTCCTGATGCCAGCTGGGACATCACAGGAACTTCCCCACATGGGCTATAGGCGGCAATGGGAGTTTTACTACCCCAGACAGCAGAGATAACTCTCTGCAGTCTCCTGAACCTGTGCTAACCTAAGCTGGGCCCCCATGTTAAGTGATCTCAAAACATGAGTTGACGGGACCTTGTTCAGTGTCTTGACTACAGTGTGAACCACTGTCCACCTGCCAACTTGCCAAGGAGCAAGTGCCACCACAGCGCCTGGAAAATCCGAACACCTCCACAGGGTAGGGGGAGGGAGCAGCCGCCACCGCACCCTGAGCCGTGAGGCAACGCGTGCGGTGGCACACCGGGACCTACCATTGCGAGGTAAAGTCAACAAACTCCGCTGAGAACTTGTCCGCCGGCAGCTGCGGTGATGGTTCCTCCACCACCTGCTTGAGCTGCTGGAAGGGTGTCCCCCAGGAGTCGTAGGGGAAGCGCAGGATGGCCAGCTCGATCTGTGGGGCACAGCACAGCGGAGTCAGCCACGTGCCATCGACACCACGTCCCTGTCCCCCTGCCCGGCTCCTCAGCCACATCGGCTCCCTTGGGCAACTCCTCCAGTCAAGTTAAGCCACATCCTCTGGCCTCACACTCTTCAGGAGTCAGTTCATAGAGCAGAAAGCCCAGATCAGCGCTTCCCGATCAACAGGAACGGTGCCGAGTGCCCTCTCCCAGGTGTGCAGGCTAAATACACGTGCTCTTGTCCCAGTCCTGTGTGAATATGGGCAGTTCCCCATCCCACATGGTCACAACTTTCTTTTGGGAACTCCTCCCTACCCATGATTGTGTTTAACCTTCACCACCAAAAGGGAAAGGCCTAAGGAGGTCCCAAAGGATCTATCTCCCTGCTACTCTTATATTAGACTTCATTTAAGAGCGAAATTACAGAAAAATAAAAGCTTGTAAAGATAGCAGCACTAGCAAATGACTTGCAAGCAGATGGATTCCTGCTAAACGCCAGTTCTCCTGACATTTAGGAGATGCCATCGCTCCCTGCTTTCCAGAGGGAGATTTTGCTAATCGCTACAGGGTTTTTTTCCTCTTGGAAACCAAACCTGCTCCCAGGCAGAAGCTGCGCGGCACCAGACGTGCCGCACACGCCCTCGCCTTAGCCCATGCTGCCACCTCCCGGCAGCCGGTGGCCATGGCCACAGCTGTCCCCAGCATCCCGAGGGGGGAAAGAGCAAGTGCAAGGAGAGGTGGCAGCCCACAGCCTCACACTCCCCACACTGGATGCTGGCATAGCCCCATTGCCTTTTCCTACTCCCAATTTCTTCCTCCCCTTCTGCGGTGGGAGATGGCAGCAGCTCACCAAGGAGCGCATGCAGCAGGGTCGCTTGCCTGGCAGGATGTTCTGGGAGGTTATGGATAGCCTGCTGCGGACATACAGCCTGTACGTCCTGTATGCGTCCTCTCCACGTCACCCTGTGAAGGAGCTTGAGCTCAGTTTGGAGGTATTATGGTTATGAAGCTACTGGCAAGGAGTTGGCAAAGGAGCTGCCAATTGTCTCCCCTGCACCTGTAGCGTGCTAGGAGTGAACGGTACGAGTTGACAGCTCCCATTCCTGCCCCCGCCAGCCTCACAGAGAACAAGTGCCACCAGCACCAGGAGGACCACGGGGAAGAAAACGATCTCACAAAGAACATCCGACCCTCCAATAACCATACCATTGTGATTCCCAGGCTCCAGATATCAGATTTGACGCTGTATCCCTTCTGGTTCAACTCTGGATTAATTCTTTCAGGCTGAAAAGAGAGACAAAGACAGTTGGAAAATCGCGAACGGCTCCAGTTCAGCGCTGCCGTACCCAGGGCTCGCCAGTGGGGACCACCACGCATCCTGGAACAGCAGGCAAATTAAGGCAGATCTTTTAAGGGTGACAGGCCAGGACTACCTAATCCAGGTCACTCAGTCTGCTTCCTTGGCCACCTTGGAGACAAAGCTGGTGGTACATCCTTGCCATTTAAGGCAGTCAGAGAAATGACTCGCCAAAAGCTGGTGAATTCTACTCTAGAGATCGGAGTGCTGGAGCTTTGACATATTTAGAGGCGACAAACCTCAGTTCTCCATAACTGCTTCCCCTCTGTGAAATGGCTCTGCAGAGAGCAAAACAGGAGCGGCAGCTCCCACGGAGGAGCCTGAAGGACCCATTCCCTAGGGACTGTTTTTCTTCTCCCAGAAAGGAAACGCCATTGTACCCATACGGCAAATGGCAAAAATACAACACAGAGTAATTACAGGGGCCTCTCAAGGTCACAGAGGTGTTAAAGGAGCAGGAAACAGTGCCCAGGAGACCTGATTCGACCTGTGAGACCTGTCTCCTCTATTCCCCTTTACATATAACTTCAGAGATATGTCTTCCAAATCGAGTCCCTAGGACACATGCCAGATCCTTCCCCTTTAGGACAACCTGATGCCCAGTCTCATATTCCTCCGGCTGCAGCAGGTTTCCCACCCGGCTTCTCCCCAGCTCAACTTACAGCCATGTACGGTTTGCATCCTGCGTCCATGGTTTTAGCTACCGAGTCAACGAGGTAACCGCTAATTCCAAAATCGCACATTTTCACCTGCCCCTGCGTATTGATCAACACGTTAGAGGGCTTTACATCTGCAAGAAGGAACACACACGACAGTCACTGTCACGCATGGGTGGCTGTACTAAGCCAAAAAATTAACGAGCTTCCTAACACTAGAGGGCACCCCCAGTGCCTGTGCAAACCCCACTGCTACTGCTCACCGGAAAGCCAGGAGCTATTACAAGCAAAGCAAGCGCTTCATGAGCCTGTCATACATCCTGGAAATGTCCCTTCCCTTTTGATGTGACTGCATGGGCCGAAATTGTGCATGTGGCCACCTTATGATAGCAAGGATTGTGATGGATCCTCACAGCGCTCACGGAGGAGCAACCTCAGCAGGGCTTAGAACATCTCCTAAAGACGTCTACAAAAGTCCAGCTCACTGCTGAGTCACCAGCTGGAGCTGCTCTCAAGGCAGCATAAGGAAAAACATTTGGGAAAAAGATGAGGAGTGGGTGGAAATGGAGGAAGAGAAGTGTGTGTCCCAGGGGAAGGAAGGAGCAGTAAACTAAGACAGAAGGACCATAACTTCAGAAGCGCCCTCTGATTTTAAGGTTATCATGCATGAAGGCAATGGGAGCAGCAGCAGGCATGCGGGTGGCCTACATCCTATGGAAATGAGGCCAATGTCTCATCTATTACTGACAGATTTATCTGGTTCCTATCACAGCCTTACATTCTTGCTGTATTTGCATTTGCATCTTTCTCATGAAACCAGCTATGATCACCACCTAAGGGGGAAGTGAAGGCCTGGGAAGAGGCTACAAGTGAGATCTACGGGAGCAGGTCCTCTATTTATGCTGATGAACTGTTAAATAGAAGAGCTGAAACACTGTCTGAAGGTGGCCAGAAGCCACTTTTGAGTCGTGCCCATTAGAACTGAGTGGTTTGCAGTTGGTTAACATCCTCCCTCCAATCAGCACTCTGCAACCAAAAACTTCAGGTATCTGAGATCCTCTCCCATCTGCTATTATATTAAAATAATACTATTTCAGTGAAAAGCAAACAAGCAAATTGAAATCCAGAAGCTGAGCAGTATTTTCCACCCACTTTAAATTATACAGAAGATAGGAACTCAACCCTAAGCCCCATGCATAATATACAAAAGGTGACCGCCTGTTACAGCTGAACTCCTTTCACTTCAAACCGTTCTTTCCCCAGCAGTCACACACTCCAGAGAGGGCTTTTCCTTCCTCATGACAAATTGAAAATGATCCTTTAAAAACAAAGATGTCAAGCAGCAACACTGCATTTTTTTTTCTTTAAATATATTCATGGTCTTTTTGAGGTGCTCTAAGCAGGAAAATGCCAAAAGAGTTTAAGGAGGGTGTTCACAAGCTCATCTGATGCCATTTTAGACACCTCCCCATTCTGCCCCATGGGTATCAGGGCACGGGCATGGAGGGGACGCCGGCTGGTTTGCTGAGTGCATGAGTCACCATGCCAGCCTGGAGACACTGCTCACCTGCATCTTCCCCTACTATGCTAGGGGAGGAGCCTGCAAGCTTCTCATCCAAAGCCCACCAAGGTCAGAAAGTCTTTTATTAATACCGTGGAGGTGTTCAAGCAGAGCATGGATTAGACCTTCTGATTAGGGAAATGCAATCCAGGGGAACACAGCCAGGCTGCAGGAAAAAGCCCTCTCTCTGCCAGCAGAACACACTGGAGGCCACTTCTCTTACCGCTCAGCGGGAAATGCTGGGGAGAGCATGTAGTTCCTAAAGCGCACATCAGTGGACATCTCCTCTGACTAGGCCTTGCTAATCCTGAGATGTTAGGGAACATTTTGCTGTCAAAGCCCCATTTTATCCTGGCTACTTTGGAAGCACTCTGCCCGGCCGCAAGGCTGGGGAAAGGGCACGTGGCGCAGGACTGACAGAAGCCAGCACAGTCACCAGCTGCATGGATGGCACTTACCTCTGTGGATCACGGAGAGCTTACTGTGTAGGTGTTCTAGTGCTTTTACAATCTGAAACAGCAAATATAGAGTGAATCAGAGCTGGCAGCACCATGATGGGAAGAAACTGCCCCTTGCCTTCACCCCTTGCTAATCCCTCCATCATGTAGCAGCCAGAGATGACGCTGGGGACCCAGGGATCTCCCAAGACTGTCAGGAGAAGGCAAACCAGCTGTAGAGCCCTCCCCACAGCCAATGCTGTGCTGCCTCTTAGCTACAACATACCCTGGAACAACTGGGAGTATTTATGGCTTATAAAGAACATCATTTCCGACCAAACACTGAAAGCCACCTAGGGATGTACATATATGCTGATGGTGGGACAAAATCTTCTCAACGCAAAGATGGCAGGGACAGAGGGTCATGAAGGGCTTGGCTTAGAGAAGAATCCCCCTTCCCCTTCCCTCATCCCTTGCTATTACTCACAGAGACGGCTATTTTCCCTAAGATGTCTTCAGGAATTGTCAGGCCTTTGTCAATGACATGTTTGTAGAATTTGTCCAGTGAGGTATCCATCAGCTCCATGCAAATCCACACATCTCCCTGGAGGAGAAAGAGATAAATACCTGCACACTGGAATGGATTGTCCTTCCCCTTCACCTGCAAAGGTCTTCTCTGGCACTTGCCCCTTGCTGGCCTGTTCCCTGTCTCTTCCCTGTCTTTTAGAAGTCATCCACCAAAACTCCATTGTGCCTTATCTTTTTCCCTCGGCAAGCTTAAGTAATTGCTGTCCACCTTCACTAACATTTGGGGTAAAATTGGTACCATCTCTCCCCAAAGTAGAATTCTCCTGATTTAGGAGTTCTGAAAGTTAATAGGACTCCTAAGTGCTCAGGTCACTCCAGAAACATTGAGCCAGGAAATGCTCAGCTCCGCAAAAGCTGTGCTTAAATTCTCCAACAGATCTTGCTCTTCAGAGCTTCTCCTCCATGTGGCTTTCTCACTGCAACTCAGGACAATATTAGCACTGAATGATCACACTGAGAGTCAATGCTCTCAGCACCCGGTTGTCCCCATCAGTCAAAATCCCAACCAAGTCCAAGTGTCCCGGCACACAGGCCTTTCCATGGCCCTCATCTGCCCTCTGCTCCTCCTCATGTGGGAACATGTCTTTCCTTGTAGAAGAAATGACTCTAAGTAAGGTGCTCAGGCAGAAACTCAGCACATACAAATTCTATCAGGTCTTCATGCCTACAGGGAGATTAAAACCCTGGCACGGAGACTCGGAGGGAGTCCAGCTCAGAGCCCAGGATGGATCCACACAGAAGAACTGAAAATGACTTTTGATAGAGTCCAACCTCTTATTTTCTAGCAGTGCCCATGACAGGCCTCTCGAGCCCACGGGCTGCAAGCAGGGCAGGGTCTCCGGGATGCCATACCTCTCGGAAAAGTGCCCCATAGAAGGTGACAGTGAAGGGGCAGTCTACCGTCCTCATGGAGATATCCAGATCCATGAGTAACCTTTTCTGCTCCTGGCTATTCACCGTGGCTCGGATCCGCTGGAACACAAAGCATTGCAGGATTGGTCATCAGCATCTCCATACGACATTCTATAAGATCATCCCAGGTGACCACAGTACCTTGACACTGTGCCTGTGCCGTACCCTCTTGTTACACCTCTTTGTGATACCCTTTCATCACTCCTCTTTGCTGGAGGCATGGCAGAAACACACCATCCACAGTGGGAGCACAGAAAGAGATGGAGAAGGGTCTTCAAATACCACCCCACTTTGCAAGCAATTTTATCTTCCCTGCTAATGCCACTCTTTTTACGACAGTCAAAAGACTCCGAGGTTTGAGGGAGAAGAAGGGAGCAGGATATCAAATTCTGGGCTGTTGCAAACCCATGACTTCCAGGGACTTTGGACACAAGACAGAGCTCAGGCATTGCTACCAGAGGCCCCGTGCTCCCCACAGCTTTGGAAAACGGACATAATATTGCCCAATCTCCCAAAGAAGAGATGCTATTTATGAGAAACACCTGGAGATCCTCAGCTGTGAAGTGCTACATAGGGGCATGACACAGGTCAGCATGGGCCACGTGTACATCATCTAGGCTCTTTGGTCAAAGCCACTCCAGGTAAATAACATGGTGGCATTAAACTGTTTACCATCACAGCTGCAAGTAACAGGCTTGAAGGTTCCTGCCAAGTCCTCTTCACCCCTGCTACCCTATTGAGAAAGGACTTTTGCATTTTGGCAAACGCCACGGCAAACAAGAAGACAAAATGCATGACATGAAGGCCCTGAAACACATCCCCAGCATGTCACAACCCGAGGAGCTACAACTTCACTTTGCTCATAACTTTCAGCTCTTCATCTTTTTTTCACTTCTTTTTTTTTTTTTACTTTTGACCAGAAATTTGAGCTAAAATTTGGCCCTGCAAAAATTGAAAAATTGTCCCTCCCAAAACATGTATCTTTCCCTGACTATTTTCTTAAACTGCAAGCTTATGAAACAAAAGTACTATTTTTCATAGCAGCATCTATAAACCTCTGCCATGACCCTCCTGCACCAGACATTATGCAAAAAGCCCAACAAGAAAAAAAAAGCTCCTATTCCGAAGAGTCAAGAAAAGTTCCAGCTGAAGAATATTATGTTATGCAACCTGATTTACAGCACGCTGTTACAATTACAATCATTCCTGTCCTGCAGAGCCCTGAATCTGAGGGTTACTACCCTAGAAGAAAGTATGCACATTTAAAAAAAAAATGATGGCAATCATTTCCTACTGGAAACGGGAATATTGTAGATACAGATGGACAGTATGTCTGTACAGTGCTAAAAGGATGTTACATGACAGAGTTTTCAAACATATCCATTTTTTTTGGTTAAACAGGGTCCAACTCTACCTTGTCCTTACGGCCCCTGTGTAGAGAGAGGATTGCACGCGGGAAGAAGTCATCCCCAGTAAAGGCATGCGTGAGAACAAGCAAGGTTAGAGAGGTGCCCGAACGAGCGCTCAGGGGCATCCACACACAACGACACACACAGAAAGCACCTCGGGAGGCTCACTCTACCTTCACTGCCATGATCTGCCCGCTCGGCATGTGCCGCATCTTCTCCACCACCCCGTACGCACCTCGTCCCAGCTCGGAGATGGGCTCCAGGTCGTCGGCTTTCACCTCAAAGTTCTGCGGGGGAGAAAAACGTCAGAGACAGGAGGGTTTCCCCTACAAATCCCCTTCAGTCTTTTTGTTTTTTTTTTCTTTTTTTTTTTTTCCTTTTTTTTCCTTCTGTTCTCGTCCCCAAAACAATCATGGAAATATCCCCAAGCGGTTTACAGGCCTGGAAAAGCTTATTTCACCAGCCCTGTAGATGGGCCGAACACCAGCCGAGCATGCCCCATTTTGAAACCACGAAGCATTTATTTTGTCTCACATTCGCCATCCCTTTCTCTTGGTCTTGCACAAAGGATGACTTTGGTGCCCTGCGTCCCAACCTGCCCCTCTCCTTGCTGCCACGACATTGTGCAGTGGCTCTATTTTTTGCTTATTATTGTTATTTTTGGACATTTCAGATGTGCTTTTGCTCCTAAAAATGGGCCACGTTGTTTGCTGAGCGCACAACCGCCTAAGTCATTGGCCCAGCAGAGCAATGCGGGCTATAATGAGCTGATTCACGGCACATCAGCTTGTGCCACGGGCTTGTGCGTAATTTCTTAAATTCAGCAGCAAAAATAAAATGGAGAAGGGGGAAGAGGCTTTCTGGAGAGATCTGGGATATGTTTGCAAAGGCCCATGGAAGAGGCACTCGCATCTTCAAGGATCTCTGGACGAGCACATATGGGTCCATGGGAAAGTCGAGCCATGCAAGATGCTGCCTCTCCAGTGACACCCAAAAGAGACAGAGCTCCAGGGCTATGTGCCACGTTAGACCACCCAGCACGGGCTCTCTGCCTCCGCACGGAGCCTCTCTGGAGCCTCCAGCTCCTCCTCGTCCTGGGGATCGCGGCAGGAGAAGTGATTTTCTTGGAAGAGGGGCCCGCCGCAAGGCCAGCGCTCTCGACGCCGCTATTTTGCTCCAGCGGCATCTCGCCCTCTTTCCACCTTCCAGCCTCTGCTCTATGCCAGGGAAAATACAAAATCCCAAATGAAGGAAAGATAGACATTCTAAAATGCCACTGGGTTCGTGTTTCACTTCATAAATTAGCTCCCTGACACTGGGGCCTATCTTTTACACCTAATAAATTTGTTGTCTAGCTTTAATGTGCTTTCGTGAATGCTGCCATGCCATTTTCTCCTATCATAATGCCAGTCCTTGATTTTGTTTTGTTTTTTTTTTTCTGCTGCAATTTTATACCATCAGAGGGAATGGTTTCCACGCTGCTGCAGAATTTTGCTTCCAGGACTGGAAGATCCAACCTGCCCTAGACTCCTGATGAGGTGGCCTTCAATATTAGCAAGGGGAAATTCTCTGGACGAAGGCTTTAAATCAGTAAAGGGATCGAAAAGGAAAGTAAAATCTGCTGTTTGCAATCCTGTTGTTTTGTAACTGATGTTTCCAGGGGATTAGCTGCACCTCGTTAAGGCAAGGCAGGAATTTCCAAAGCTCAGATTTACCTGCATTCTCAGCAGCTTTGTTGTTGTTTGAGCAAAAAGGAGGGCAAAATGTCTGGTTTTATTCCCCTAAATAAACAGAGTGCCTGATTTTAAATACAAAAATCTTATGTGAAGACAGTACATACATAGCCACCAAATGCAATGCTGTATTTGAGCAATAGCAGCAACCTCAGTGGCTGCAGAAAAATTTAGGAACCCCTTACCCGAATACAGCTTCACTGAAGGAGATGCAGCCAAAGCTCTCTGAAAACAGCATGCGACCTTGGGTTATAACCATGAGGTATCGGAAACATGTGAGCTGGGCCTGATTTTGGTTTAGAAAAGCCGTCTCCCTGCGCAATGTGCTGTCACTGTGAGTGAGGGGGACACCCTGAAGGGATCCAAGTGTCCTGTGTGGAAGTGCGGGGGGTGAGCACAAGGACAGCCAGGCCAGACCTTCCTGGGCCTCATAATGACGCCATAAGTCCACAAAAAAGGAAAAAGACAATTCCCGTCAGGGCCCCATTTGGTGCAGGAGGCCCTGCTGTCTTGGAAAGACTTCAGTGTGTGGGGAAAAAAGAGCCAAACAAAATTGCAACCTGCACTTCGCTGCCTGTGCCTTGGCAGCGAGGGCTCGGGGTTAAGCCAGGCAGCGCTGGGGCTCCACGCTGCAGCTCAGGGACGGCTGTTTTGCAGCAGCTGCTGCCAAGAGTGGCCCGGGGCCAGGGCTGAAAGCGGGGGAGCCGCTCCAGCAGCCAGAGGGGCTGCCAGGGCTCGCGCGAAGCAGCTCCCGGCCGCCTCTCCTGCCTCAGATCTCGCTCCTCCCGGACATGCCGTGCTCGCAGCGACGCAACGCTGCAGCTTCTCATGCTCATTATGGTCAGTTATCCCTGGGGGAGCAAAGGGGAGTCTCCAGGAGGATCTTCTTAACTGGAGGATTTGCTTACGTGGTGGCCTCTTGCATCTACACTTCCCAAGCCAGCAAAAGATCCAGCACCCTCTAATCCGCTGGCTGAGCCCCCCCGACTCATTTCATGCAAAATATAACACATTTCACAGACACGGTTTATGAACTTGCTCCTTTTTACCCCAAACTAGTTGGGAAACAAGCACCCAAGCAGCACGTCTGGAGAAGCACCCAGTGCCACAGCAGCTAGGCAGGGATGGTCACCTTCTCCCAAGAGCCTTCTGCTCACCACACCTCCTAACCTTACCTCCTCGCCAATGGAGATGCAGGCTTTGGAGTCTAGATCTCTGGGTGGCCTGCGGGAGAGAAAATGGAAGACATATAAACTGCTCCTGGCGAGGATCGAGTTAACTTCCATGGCCACGGGGTCCCTCAGGCTGTCCCCTCACACCAGCAGGTCTCCCGGCCTTGCTGGATCAATAGACGCTGCCAAGATTTGCAACATCCCCCCAGGACGGGGTAAGAAGGGAAGGAAGCTGCTGGGGCTGGAATTTCACACATCTGCATCCAACTCCCACGCGAAGGGACGCAGGGAGATTAGTGCCTCCAACGGGCTGAGATCGCAACCAGTTCCTATGGAAGGAAAGTGAGGTGGAAAGAATCCAATCTCTGTCAGCCTGCATAAAAATGGATTAGAGGTCAAAAAACAAGCCATTTCCTCTTTTTTTTTTTTTTTGTATGTGTGTGTAAGATATGGGAATTGTTTTCAAAAGCATCTAAGCTTAAGGAAAAGAGATTTATTTAAGTCCTACACCTTGCTTTATTATTGTCTCTGTTTATTTCTTAACAGGCCATGGCAGAGGTAGGGCTGGTTTTTCTTTGGAATACGGCTTTCGGATGGACATGGATCTCTTCTGCTGCAGCCCTGGACACACGAAGATTGACACCAGAGAAGGCAAGGGCTCCTTGGGCACGCGGCGCTGAGCACTCCAGCCCAGACACATCTGCCTCGTTTCAACCCTGCTCTCCGTGCTCATGCTGGGCACGTGTCCAGGAGTGTATGGATTGATAACCCCTGCAGCTGCTCATTGCCAGACTTAAGCAGAGCAGTTAACAGCCTGCGTTGCCTGAAACTTGTCTAGCTGGCTGAAGTGCCCTATGGACCTCAGAAAGTGAGGCCCTGGCCTCCTCCTGGTTGTGGCACTGGCATATGCCAAATGGCTGACAACTGAGCTGGGGACGTAGGAGGGAAGGAAGAGGAACAACTGGTTTTGTATTCATTTATTTCTGGAACGAAGTGATTGTCCTAAAATTAGTCCCACGTGAGGACAGATGGAGAAAGGCTGGGATCAGTCTCTGCGTCCTCGCAGAGTGGCCTCTGACATCTGCTGACTTCACAAGAGCTCCGGGGAAGTCTAAGAAGAAAGTGTGCTCTGCTGGCAACAGCTCTTTCAGATCACTTGGGGAGAAAAGGAAAATTACGGTCATCCTCAGCAGAAGCCAAAATCCCTCACTATCTGCTGGGGCGGCAAACTTGGGTTGTGCCCCTCCAGGAGATGTGGTTTTGCACAGCACTGAGCACCAGGTATGAAGGTGCCATGGGAAAGGGCTGCTCCACCCAAACTCCCTCAGTGCAGGGAGACATCCCTCCGCCTCCGAGCTCAGGAAGAGCAGCAAGAGGAGCTCAACCCTGAGCAGCATCTTTGCACCAAATGGCAATGGGGACCATTCGGTGTTTCAGCCTTGAGTCAGGCTTGCCCAGGGTCATCCTTGCTTGTTGAATGATAACGGAATGGGATGTGTTAGTTCTCGTAACACGAGCGGAGGGTCCGACAAGAATATAAGGGAGCCAGCGCAAAGGATGGGGAGAGACCACCTCATATCTGGAGCTACACAAGAAACATTAGTGCTGTTTTTCTAGGAGAAAAAGAGGCCAAGGGCCCAGAAAACAACTGGCTTCCTGGCAGGAACTGTGCAAGAAGGGCTGAAAGTCCAGAAAAACTGAATGATGGGAGCTCAGAGCCCTGGAAAGGAGCATCTCCCCTGCGGAAAGACCTCTCTGGAGACAGAGGCATTTAACTGCTGCGCCAAAATTAATCTAGGCAGATTTGCCTCTATTCCTCAGGTTGGATCTTCATCATCCCAGACCTCCAAGCACCAGCCCTGGTCCCTGCTGGGACACGGCTCGGCCATCATGTGGCCACCACGGCCACAATGCAGGCACTGCCAAACACAAGAAGGCAGCTTGGGCTCGTGGTTTTGCTTTTTATTCTCCCTTTAGCCCTGGAGACTTACGTGGAGCTTGTCTGTGGTTGCTCAAAGGCTTCTTTAGGAATTTTCAGCCCAGGGTTTCTCTTCTTGCCTGTGAAACAAGAAAGAGGCAGACTTTAAATAAAAAAAAAAAAAGCTTTTTTTTTTTTTTTAACTTTTCTTCTTTTTTTGGTTTTAATTTGCAAAATACAGCTTGCCTATATTTGTTGACCTTATTTAACATAAATGCCAGGCCAGGCTAGTGGTGCAGACTCAGGGCACAGAGTTCAAAACATAAAGTGTCTTTGTTCAGCACGGCTCCTTTCAGAGCCACGAGCGCCGGCTGCCAACCTGGTACAGAAAACAGGCAGGAGCTCTGGCAAAGGCGAGATGCAAGGAGAAAGGTATTTCTCCTTCATCAGCCCTGCCCACGTAGGATCCCTCAGACTGTTCCTTAGACAGGTTTTAAACCATTCCAGATATGCAAGTGTGAACCCTGGCAGGATTTTACATCTTTTAAAAAGGAATCTGATAATCCAGTACCAGATTCCGTTTAAACGGCTATGGTACCTTGGTCATTAAAGCTGAGCAAATGCACCAAAAATAAAACAGAATTAAGTTTTCAGGCTGCAAAACCATTGGTTTCTGTTAACACTGACCAGCCAAGCTTTTCTGAGCTGGATAACGCTCAAACGCCAGGGCGGTTCAAATGCAGCCTCTCCTGTAAATGGGGTCCAAGTCGACAGATGCTAGAGCCAGCAGACTAGAGAAATACAAGAACCTTTTTATGACTAAACATATACGGCCACATTTCATCACGGGGTTTTGAATTCATGGATAAAATAACCTGAAACATAAGTCATGTCAACAAAACCCCAAGGTAAACATCTGGCTGTCTGGGTGTGTAGTAAAATCTGTGGTCCCCAAAAAAACACAAGCATCTAATTTAGACTTTAAACATTTTTAACCTAACAATTTATATCAATTACTGCCTTTCTTTCAAGCACAATTTTTATGCACTGCTTCCAAAACTCTCTTTTGAAGTTCACCTCTGCCTGTTTGAGTTTGTTTTTCCTCTTGACATGAGCGCAGGTCAATAGATACCTGCGCATCCCGGTGCCACAGGGCTGTGAGATCAAAGGGCAGGTACCCAGGACTGAAAACGACTTTTTTGGAAGCAATCAGTCGATTCAGATTGCCATTCCCCTTTCCTAGCGCACTCCAGGAGACAAGATCACACTCGCCCCGTTTGGTGGGGAGTAACTCCGGCACGGAACAAGCTGCTGTGATGTAGCTGAAACCTCCTGGGAAAAGCATTTACTGGGGACAACAAATGTATTCTTGCTCATTGTCAACCATTTTCAGTGCTGCAGACTCACATAGGAAGAAAAAAGCCAGTCCTTGGAGCTCCAAGGAGCCTCCCGTCTACCAGAGAACAGGCCACATACAAAGTTAAAAGAAGCCAGATTACTCAGAGGCATGAGGAATAGCTCTCAAATTTCTCTACAGGTGGAAGGTGGTCTTCAGGGAAGCAAAAAAAAAAATTATAAGAACAAGTGAAGGAATTTCTACAGTTAGCAGGGCTGTTCATTTGACTCTTCTATTTCTAGTTGTTTTCTTAATTGTATCTCAAAAACAAAGGCTTTGCAAGGCAAACAAATAAAAATCCAGTTTATTTGGCAATCTTGGAGTGACATCCCAGTGACCTCCCTGCTCCAAAAACCTGACTCCATCCCGCACAAGCCTCACAGCCCTTGCATGGGACATCCTCTCAGGATTACACAAGCTGTGCCCATCTCAGGAAGCTTCTCGCAGGCAGCTCGGGCAGGGTGAAAACAAACCTGCTGGACATGAACCTAATTTGAACACAGTCCAGAGCAGACTGTGCCACAGTTAATCTTATTGCAATTCACAAGTGATGTCACCAGAAGAAGTAGGTAGCAAAATGTCCAACCCAAATAAATATTAAAAGCCTTCTGGTGAAATAAAATCTGCACTTTGGAGAGTTTATTTTCCTTGTCTCTTCTTAACAGAATACAATATTTTGAAGCTTTGCCATTTTTTTGAAGCACAATCTGTTCGCATTCTTGAGTTGCCAAGACACAGGCACAGTGATTTGGGGTTTTCTTTTCAAGAATGAAGAAAGCAACGGCAATGACAAGAAGAAAACACAGGTTTCATGACAGGAGGAATTGCTAACTGGAATTACAGCAGTCGGCACTCAACACCTGCAGCACCAACACAATGCTCTCACTGCATCCTTGTATGAAATCCCTGACACCTATGTGGAAACACACCTGCAGTGATGAAACAGAACACGCTGCCCCTTTTCCAGCACTTCATTCACTTTGCATAAAAATACATGGGAAATGCACAACGGGAGACCCCAGGCATCTGGAGCAGATGTGCACTCATGCCAGTGTGCTGGCCCATCCTCCCTGCGAGGAGCTTTCCCCCAGCTCAAGCACTGACACTTGGCGTGGTTTATTTTGCTTCTTAATTGGAAGTCCCAAGATGCGTCTTCCTCAGTAATAACTGCCAGGCAAGGATCTTTCTGTCAAAATAACAAGCCTCCAGTTCAGTACAGAAGATGTAGGCTTTGGAAGAACACACTGCATAGAAATTGCAATTTGGAGCAGAAAGATAATTTCTACAGGAGCTACAAGCGTGAAGGCACTTCACTTCCATTTATCAATAACCTACCAAATTTGACATTGCCTACTCGACCCACCAGAGAAAAAAAACAGTATTTTTTCATATTTTTATGAATTGTTATTACTTGTAGTTTTGTATCCCAAAGTAAACCACCATGTGGGTGCACTTGTCAGCTTGAGTTCCTCCCAAGAGCTTTAAATTCACTGGCCAAAATAGCTGGAGCATTGTAGTTTGGACGGGTTTAATGCAAATCCTTGTTTGCAAGACCGCAAGCCCACGGACACCCACAGCTGCCGTTATACAAAGCATGAAGCTCCTTCACCAGGCTCCGAGTCCTGGCTAATTAACAGATGTGATCAAACATCTGCTTCCAGGCATTCAAAAAATCATGTGTTTCTGGCATAAACAACCACTGGTGGCTTTCTGGTCTCCAAGCCTGCAAGCTAAAGCTCATTTTAGAGCTTGTCCCTGCAATTTTCCACATGGAGACTTTCATAAACAGTTGACTCCAAAAGGCAAGTTTTCAGAATAATTGAGGGAAAAGAGAATGGCTTTGAGCAAGGCAGAGGAACCGCTTCAGAACAAAACTCCGATTCTGCAAAACATTCAGGCTGTCCTTGACTTTAAGCAGAAGCTTAACTCCATCCTCGTTTAGCAAAGCAATTACTGACCCGCGTGGAGCTAGAGAAGTTGTCGCTTTCAAGAAACTTCAGTGCTTAACAGAAAAGCCCAACGATGCAGACAGCACTAATCCAAGGTATTAGTTACAACATCACTGCACTTTTCTCAGCGACAGCTACACACATCATGTGCCCTAAAAACGGGCATTGACTACCCCAGAGCAGGGAAGTCGATGCAGAGAATAAAATGAGGTCTAACAACAGAATTGTACCAGGAGAAAGAAAAACTGACTTAGCAAAAAACACGTTAAACACTTCCCTGTGAAGGTCTTAAACCTGATTCCTGAGGGAAGGGAGAAACATGCAACTTCCAATAGGCTATTAACCTCTTTCCACTGCCACTGACAGATAGTACATGGAGATTAATGTTGCTAGCCCATTTCAATTAGAGCCATGTTAAATATCAATATGAACTGAGGAAACTTCAAAGTTTCACTGAAAAAAAAGTGAGAACCATAACAGAGAATAATAGAGAAAGGGAAGACAGAGGAATTCACTACCCACATGTGCTGTAACAGAAAATAAACTTTTACTTCTGGAGGACAATTCCATTCCCTGGTCTCCAGACTTCTCCCTGCAGTCAAAAATGTTTTTATATAATCCAAAGTAAATGGTTTCTTGCCACAAAAAGCTCCCGTTTCCTTCAAAGGATATTAACCAGTTTTGTCTCCACCACAATTTATTATTAAAGCCGTGTTCAACAGCCATGGAGCAATGCTTTCTCCCAAGTAATACTCTTCAGCATATGAGTCTCCTATAAAATTTCACAGGAGGGAAATGCCTCTTTCTCCCACTTCTCTAGCAGTGCCTCACTGCTATTCCTGGCTTTCCTAATGATTTTTTCTCTGCTTTTCTAGAAAGTTCTTGAAAGCCAAGTTATTGGTTCTTATTCCAAAGAGAATGAAGATTTTTGTCCCAAATGCCTACAAAATGCCCTGAAGGAAGCAGCTTTTGGGCTTGGTCCTTGAAGGCAAACAGCATCGCACCATGGCTGAACCTCACACAAGGTGACCAAAGAGGGTAAAACCCCCCAATATTTTATATGAAAAAGATTAAAGATCATCTCACAGATTTATTATTTATGCTTGCAAATTACACCAGGTTAATGTACGAAGGATGCTCCCATCTGCCACAAGCCCATCGGGGATCGTGCACTGGGATAACCCTTCCACTGAGATTACAGAGCAGTTGAGAAGGAGCTTAAATGCAAGGGACGCTTAAAAATTAGTGAAGTTTCAGCTAAAGGCCACGGCAGGAGATGAAGTGAACATTTTGCAGCATTTGCCACCTTGAGGCATCATCATCGAGCTGCCAAGTGCCACCACTTGGTGCATCTTCACCGCTTCCGGGGCGAAGGGGACAGCGCAGTGGGGAGGTGGCAGCAGGGACGCCATGCCTAGCGCACGGCCGTTATCTGGGTCCTGACTGTTTGCAGTAACTCCTTGGAAACGGCAAACTGGAAATGTGTTTCCTTAACAACTCCTCGCAAGGCTGCTCAGGGGAAGGGAGTGCTGTATCAGAGATACGCGCGGGCCAGCCTGCAGGTCCTACAAATTGCTGGCACTCTGTGCGATTCTCAAAAAATAACAAAAACTCATTTAATGCTAGACCTGGCAAAGTCGCTTGAGTCACTTTTCCTGATCCTCCTCCCATGCCACTGCTCCGCGGAGCCAGCAGATGCTACAGCACATTGCTCCAACGGGGGAGTCAGGAGGTGGCAAATGTGCTGGTGCCTCCAATGCAGCCAGCACATTCCCAAACGGAATACAACTCGGCG